GGAAGATTGAAAGGGAGGGCGGGAGGAGAAATATGGAAGATTGAAAGAAGGATGGATGGATGGGAGGGAGGGAGGGAGGGAGAAAATATGGAAGATTGAACGAGAAAGATGGATGGAAAGTTTTTCTCACTTTACAGACAACGCAACTCTTCCTCTCAACAAACAGCCTCAGAAAAGGAATTCTCGTCTAAGGCGAGATTTCTACCTTCATCCTTCAAAACACTCCATCAAAGAATCTGGACAAAGGTGTAAACATCTTCCGTTCAATCACCTGGGGACAACCGTACCCACCAACTCTGCACACTCAAAGTTGAAACTAGTCATTCCACAGAGAGATCTTCTATCGAAAGTGTGATTGCACCACATAAGCTTCATTCTACAACCCAGCAGTTTCTTCTCAGGTGTGTAGGACTATAACCTCCATCATCCCCAAGTGACACGGCCAGGACATCTGAGGAACATCAAGCTGACCAAAGCTGCTCTCAAACATCTCCCTAAGGAGAATACAGAGGAAAATCACACCAGCTGGGGATGATGGGAGCCTGGGTACCCCACCTCTGGGATGAAGACAGCAGGTCCAGAATATTTGGGAGCAAAATCCCAAATATAACCATTACAGGAGCTCCATTTGCAGAAGGCAATATTTTTTTTAGCCCGCAAGTTCTCTCCAACGGTTCCTCGGTGTTAAGAAAATGCTCCGTCAAGGATCAACTGGTTTTCTTTCTCAAATTTAATAGCTCGCCTCATCGTGGGGCTTCATGAAGTTTATTGCCGAAAACACGCACAACTGAATCCACTTGTTTTCAAGCAACATCACACTACACCTTAATTGCACTGCACATTTCAACATCTGCCACCTAAATCCAGATTCGCTTAGACGTATCACTCGATAGAGATGTGGTTGCTAAGACTGGGCTTAGTGATCCTTCTCAGGCCAGCAAAACCGTGATGGGTGAACCAGGCATGTTCTATAAAAAACTGAAGCCATCGTATTAATATTTAATAGGAGCATGCACAATTTTTCAAATCAACCTGGTTCGACACAAAAGCTTTCTCGTTTGGGAGTGCAAAACCTCCATTTCGATTTGAGCTTCCAGGAAATGTTTCGAGCTCCGAGAACTGCAGCGAGACTCTTCGATGTGCAAAATTGGAAGGATCTAGAAATATCTACCGCCGAAGAACGGATATTGAAAAGAATGGAAATGGCGAAACTGACTATTTCGCTTAAAGAAAGGATATTGTTTAGCTTTGTTTCTCATTGGAAACCACTCTTGGACTTTTGGCTTGATGCCCAAGAAATGCAATTTTGGTTTTGGGATTTGATGACTGCTTTATTTGATACCTATAGAAATATCTTGTACTAATATCTATTGGGGAAATAGGTTGATTTGATGACCTTTTTGAATGTAAGATTAAAAATTATTTTTTTACTATGTAAATCTTTAGATGTTAGAATAAGAGGTGAACATATTCTACATTTATACCTGCACCAAAGAAAGTCGGAAGCTACTTTTCTTTTTCTACGCTTTTTCCTTTCTGAAGTTGCTTTTCTTTTGACTTTTTTGTATTTTAATCTTTCTGAATTTTTTTTTTTTTTAAAGGAAATGTTTCAAGCTCCATCCAGAAATGTCCTGCTCAAAACAGTTCAAATCTAAACCCTTGGCACCTCTGTGATATTTAATTAATTTATTTTGGGCTCCCACCTGTTTTTCAAACTCTCTTCTACAACCACGCCATTCAAAGTTCCTTCCCTCTGCACCAAACCATCTTAGCTTGTTAATTAAGCTACAATCAGCTGGGTTCACTGGCCACACTGAGCCAGGAGCAAATTCTATCAGGGTTTAATGCAACATGAGAAGCCAGTCATCACAATGCCCCTTTTACCCAGAAAAAAAACGGAACCCCAAATTCTATCATGGGGTTCAGAGCAAAGGGCACAGAATTCAGACCTTTTTTGCAGAACCCTGGAACCCAATGCAAGTTTGGGGTTGTCTTTTGTCCAAAACTTCTCCCCCGTTGCATATTTGCAGTTCTTTCACGTACCTGTTACAATGAACTATGGGCAGTGAAAGAAGGAAAAAGGAAATTAAGTTGGGAATCAAAAACTTTAAAATCCACACCAAGACTCCCCAAACTTTCCCCTCTCCTGAAGGATAGCAAAGATGTCAGAATTGGCGAAACTTTTGGTCAGGGATAAAAGAGTACACACTTTTCTAAAAGTCTGGAAACCCTTGATGGACATTTTGCTGAAAACAGAGAAAAGTGATTTATGGATCTGATGACTGAAAAAGAATTAAATACAGGACTGAAGGGATTTTTGAAATACTAAGGAGGGAAGCTGGGGGATGAATGTGTTAATTTCTGTTAGAAAGAAGGTCGGAAGGCAGTTATTTCTGTTTCTTTAGTTAATTTTCTTTTTCTTCTTTTTTTCCCTTTCTTGTTCTTCACACGTTTCCTTTTCTTTTAATTTGTCTTTTATGGTTTGGAAAACATTCTCAATAAACATTATTTTAGAAAGAAAACCAGTTTTGGTGGGGCTGAAATTCTGAAAGCTGGGGGAAGTGAGGTAGCCAGGAAAAACCTGAAGTTAAGCTGATCTGGATTCAGTTTATGCGGGCCTAGATGGCACCTAAGTTAAATCTCAACCTTTCTTTAAGCTCCTCAAATGAAAAGGATGGTGTTGGGCATAAGAAAATCCTGTTCCCTCTGCATATTTATCCTCCCACTTGATTGCAGCTCTCTGCAACAGCTCTTGATATAAAATATTTTGTTTTGCTTTGAAGGGCCTGCTTCAGCCCTTGCCCAATAAGCTACGAAAACAGGACAAAGATATAGATGATTCACATTTGGGGCAAAGAATGTCGAGACTTTCCCAGTAAATCTCCAAATATCAGACCACAGATCCGCTCTAACCACAGCTTAATGTAATGATAGTTCCAGGAATTATGTGCCTGTTTTGGTTTATTTTAGCACCAACCTCATCAAGTGGAAAGTTGGCCATTCCCACCTCTGTTATTAGGTGGATTCCAAAATCTGTGTATTGGCCAAGGGAATCCTCGAAAAGATACAAGCCATCGCGATCGATGTTAACAGGAAAACATGGGTTGGTGGGAAAGAGACTAATATAGAGAGGATTATGAAATCTCCTGCGTAACGTCGCAGGATTGTCTGTATTCTCGGAGTATATTGGGGAAAATGTCCAGTTGAACTGATGAAATAAAAACACGGTGGCCTTGCCTCCAGGGAGGCTGGAGCGTTAAAAAAATAAAATCCTTTTTCTCCATTGTGGAACCCCACTGCTGCATAATTCAAGCTGGCATTTCCCAGGTCACCAAAAAAAAAAAAAAAAAAAAATGGGGAGAGCTATAAGAAAAATAAATAAATAAACCCAAATCTATCTTTATTTCTTAGGCCAATGGAAACTTCAGAAAACATTGCAAGCTTAGTTTTAACCTCGCGCTGTCAAGGACCGCCTTTTGTCTGCCTTAAATTTCAGAGAATGATAGACTGGATAGTTGTCCAACCTCCTTCCAGGGCAGGCATCTTCCGCTATTCAATTTCATTTCTCTGAATGACTCCACTGGGCTCCCCAACAGTCCAATTTGGCGCACTCTGAATTTCCTTCATGCCCCTTTCAGCCCCGTTTCTAGCATCCGGCACGTTAAATCCGTTCTTTGTAAGATGACAGCCTTGTAAGATTGTCCAGATTTTATGTAGAGAAGGACGGACGCATGGCTCCAATATTAGCTCTCGGTTCACCCACCGCTAAACTCAAAGGTGGCTTGATTGTATCACAACCAGAAAGTGTCATCTGCAGAACATGAATGATAGTTTAGGACTTAATCTCAGTTTTTGTAGCTTTTCTAGCAAAGCAGAGCTAGAAACCCTATCGTGACACAATACGTCAACCTGGTCGCTCGGTTATCTAATTTGGCAGCGTCCAACCCAACCCAGTGGTTACATTCGCACAACCATTTGAACTTAGTTTCTGAATTAACCGTTTATCTAGGTCAGTGTTGTCCAAACTTGGCCACTTTAAGATGAGTGGACTTCAACTCCCAGAATTCCCCAGCCAGCAT